CGGGCCTTGGCAGCGGTCCAGTTTGCGTTTGGCGGGTTCTTTGGACGTGGTCGAGCCTGGCAACGTTCACCGGCGCACACTTCCCTGCTGCTGTCTGACAGTTAACTCCACCATTTGCTCCAGGCTAAAGGAGTGTGGGTCGCTATCAGCTCCATGCGCATTCTCCTTGCCAGCCCTGGGGGTCGTGACCCTGGGTAGGACAGGATGCCTGCCTGCTCACCCACCAAGCAGTGACCACTCTTCCCCCGCACCCCCACGGGAGCAGTCGGAGCGTGGAGACCTAGACTGGGCTGGAGCAGAAGCCAGCTGCCCAGGCAAATGACCCGGGGTCATAGGTCATCCCCATCACCACCCCTCCTAGATGCCCACGCCCTCCTGTGCTTCCATTACAACTTCCTCTAACATACTTCCCAGCAATTATCACTCTGAGATCATCTTGTTTATCTGCTTACCTCCCACCAGAATCAGCCCCTGAATGCCAGGTCTGGCCTGTCTCCATGATGGCCCTCGGCAGCGCCTCTGGATAACAGAGGTTCAAAGGTTATTGGAAAAGGCAGTAATTATTTGGGGGAATGAATTAATTAAGCCATCTAGTTAATATGCTTGACTTCTAGTCTGTAGGCACCTGAGGGTGAGGCTCTCGCTAGGCTCTGTCAGTGATTTCCTCCCTGTACCTACCTAGTAATTACGGATGACATGCGTGACTGAGTGACTGAGAAGTGAGGGGGCAGGAGCGGATGGCATGCGGTTCTATTCAGAGATGCACTGGGTGAGGTGGACGAACCGCTTGGTTTGGGTTTCAGGTAGAGCTTCCCACTTCTGCTCACCCGGTTCCCCCCATCCTGTGCCTCCCGCCTGAACAATGTACGATTTGAAATGACAGGTGGAGGGAACTCTCCGTACTTAAGGAGCTACTTAGAATTACTGCTTCATTTTTGTATCTAGTTTGTTCAATTGTGAAAAACAAATAAAAATCAGAGTCATTTAGGAGGGTGGATAATTCTTTTTTTTTAAATAGCCAAAGCCGTTTATATTTTTAAAAATAGAAAAAATGCATTAGATGGAAGGAAATAATACGGTTGATAGCTGCTAAGTGCAACTTGTGGTACCTGGGATTTTTATTTTTTTTTTAATATTTAGTACTTTGAGTGGTTTCTGGGGAGGTAATGCTTTAAGGGCTGCTGAGAGGGGCTCAACCTCGATGAAGATGTGTGAAGTTATTGTCGCTGAGTTTTGCTGGCTCTGGAGCCGTCAGTACAGAAATATCTGTCCCTGATGCCCTGGAGCTTTGTGAAGCTGTTCACCGGCCAGCCACCCAATCCATCCTTCCTTCCGAAGAATGTTATCCTGCCCCATAATTCAAGGTTCTTAGTCGTCAAAGTCATACCAGAATATTGACTTCATTTTCATTGTATTGCTAAACACCACAGTACCTGTCTACACCGCAGTACCTGTCTACACCGCGGTACCAGTCTATACCGTGGTACCTGTCTACACCGCGGTACCAGTCTATACCGTGGTACCTGTCTACACCACGGTACCAATCTACTGATTTTGCTACCTGTAGTGATGGGGTGGAGTGATGGGTGGGATGGAGGTCTGGGGCCCAAGGGTCTTTTCTGTGTCTCCCTGTGGTAAACATGCTGGCAACTCTGGGGTTTGGAGAGGAAGATCTTCCGTCACTACCTCCTAGAAACCCATTAAGAGGCTCACTGAGGGAGCAAAGGAAGGTTCTTTAGACTCCTGAGCACTGTATTACTGATGCTGCTTCTTGCTGAAAGAGAAGTCATCAGTAGGTCATTAACTTGATTTGGTTTGGCCCAGGGATGACACCTGTCCCCACGCCCTTCTGGAGTAACACCCTGCCCAGTCTGCGGCTGGGAGGAAAAATACAGATGTGATTGTTGACTGAGGTTTTTGCGACCTCCCTGTTACATGTGATTCCCACCTACTAGGAGTAGTTTGGGGAGCCAGACTCCAAGTCAAGAGGAAACTGGAGGGTGTTTAAAGAGAAGGCTCTGTATCTTGGGGAGACCAGCGAGCAGTAACTCAGGTCTTACTGAGATTGTGTGTGGGGGGAGAGGGACACAACTGAGGAGGAGGTGGCTGTGGGACTGACACCAGACACTGGTTGTGAAAAAAGGCATTGCATCCAAGCACAGGTGCTAGTGGACCTCGGGGACAAGCCCTGGCCCTGACACCGCCTGGGCCTCAGCTCCTTTGCTTTATAAGCCCCACTTATTTGCCCTCCATCCTTTTCATTTTACATTATCCTTATTCCATCTGATTCATTGCTACTGAGTTTTTGTTTCAGTGTGGTATACAATAATCCATCGTCACCCAGAGTTTTGTTTTCCATAATTCTTCAACCATCCATGGTCTACTGTAGATATTAAATGAAGATTTCCGGAAGTAAATAAGCCACAAGATTAAATTGCTTGCCACTCTGAGTATGGCGATGAAGTCTTGTGCCAGCTCATTCTTCCCTACCCTGGACACGCACCAGACTGCGGTACAGAACATCCCTGCGGTGTGTAGCACCCACTAGCAGAGAGCATCCTTCTCCAGTGTATCCATGCTGTGTAGGCTACCCACCGATGTAAATCCTCTCTCTCTAGCTAGTCCACGTCATGTACGCTTTTCATCTATGGCCCCAGGAATCCACTGTGGGTCCTGAAACACATCTCAGAGGATCTCAAGCAGCTATGATTGTAATTACATATGTGTTTGGTACTTGTCCCCTGTTTCCATCACACTGACACCTTGTGTTTTCCTGGGGAGTAGGAATATCTTTTGTCACACTGGGTTCCTTTAGATGTCTCAGTTCACGGTAAAGATGCCAATAAGATGGCATGGCTTAAGTGGGCTGTACTAGCCTCGGGATGGAGCCAGGCATGGGAAAGAACAATTGAGGACTAGGACCTTTATCCTTGCTCCCAAACTTCCAAGGAAGGTTGGGCAAAGCTGCAGATGGTGCCTACAAAGTGTCATGGACAAGGAGACATGATGGTCTTTGGGTTGGCGAGCACATTCACAGGCTGGGAAGGGATGGTCCCCTAACTTCACGGGAACAGAGACTCCCGTGCCCTGGACCCTTGTGGACCCTCCCCCGTGTACTTCTCCACCTGACTCTCACTATCTGTTATTATAATAATAATGTGAAGGGTTTTCCCTGAGAACTTTGAGACAGCCTAGCAAGTCATAAACACAGGGAGGGCATGTCCAGAGACACAGTCTACAGCTGGTCGCTCAGGAGAGCAAGGGCCCAGGTGGAAGCTGAGATCGGAGATCCAAAGACAGCAGAGACTGGGGCAGTCTCAAAGGATGAGGTGCTTAGACTGCTCCCAAGTAAAGTGTTCTCAGGACAATGGCTGCACGGATGTGCCCTCCTCTCAAATTCAGTGTTTGTGTGGAGAGAGCAATAGGAGGGGACTCTCAGAATCAGCTCCATTGTGTAACTACGGTTGCTTCCAGGAGACAGCCAGTGTCTGTGCCAGCCTGGGCTAAACATATAATTCCTAAAAGGAGGCCAGGCCCACCAGTGTCCTGCCGTAGGTTCTCCAACTGTCACTCACTTTGGAATAGACTGGTGCCCACCTTCAACTTTTCTCCTGACCTTTTGGGCAATGACCTTCATCTCTAATTGGCACGAAGGGTTGGGCTTCCTTCCTTCCCTCCCCTTTAAAATGGGTATGTGATCCTCGATCCTAGTTCTTTAAGTGTGTGTGTGTGTGTGTGTGTGTGTGTGTGTCAGAAGACAACCTTGGGTATTATTCTCAGGTCTCTCATTGGCCTGGAGCTCACCAATTAGTTAGGCTGGCCAGCAATACTCCCATTCCAGGAATTCTCCTGTCCGTGCCTCCTAAACTCTGGGATTAGAAGTATGCACACTGCCATGCTTATTGTGTGTGTGTGTGTGTGTGTGTGTGTGTGTGTGTGTGTAGGTTATTTCTGTGTATGTATGTGTGTTTGTGTGCAGAGGTCAGAGGTCAATGTCAGGTGTCTTCCTCTATCCTTCCCCAGATTTCTTTGAGACAGAGTCTCTCACTGACCTGGAATTTACCAATTGACTCTGCTGGTTAGGCGGGTGTCAAACATTTTTACGTGGGAGTTGGGGGTTGTACTTGCGTCTTCATGCATCTACAGTAAGAACTTTATTGCCCTAGCATCTCTTCAGCCCCTCGATTCAGAGAGCCTCCTGTCTGTCCTTTCCTGTCTTTTGTCTTTGCTCACTATAGGAATTGCTCCTGACGGACCCTAGGCCATTGCTATCCTCACTGCCTATATTAACTGCTTTGGGCAGCTTCCCCATGGGGCACTGGGCAGTTCAGAGGCATGGTTGGTTGCCTCCGCTGTTGGTGGAGTTGCTCTTGGTACCACTGGGCAGAGGCCAGGTTGGCTGCACAGCATCTCCCAAGCACAGGATGGTGACAGCCACCTCAAAACTCAAAAGAATGTAGCCCCAAAGGTCAGTGCCATCCCAGGATAGATACCCTGGTATGTGGCTGGCAGACTCTGGTACTCTGGTCCGTTTACCTGGCCAGCTTGGATGTTGTGTTCTCCCACATTCCAACCCCACTGCACTTTACTGTGG